TTGTTGTTATGTGCTGTTGGATACTACTCATAGCAACACTTCTACAAGAGTTCGGAACCTTACCCTTTTCTGTGCCATCCTCATCCTCTTTGATATACTTGAGCCTGCTGCTACAGTCACTGTGTCAGTCCATCTTGTCTAGGGTCTTTCTCTCTTTGCCAAACCTCTTCCTTTCCAAGCATAATGACCCTCTCCAAGGAATGTTGTTGTTGTTGTTATCTACTGTCGCATCACCTGCTATTCATAGAGATCCTGTATACAATATTTCTCAATGCTGCCCTAACCTGAGCGAATCTCACTGGCTCTGACACACACCTACCTAATTTACACTGCCCGAGTTGCCATGTCAGTCAATCTTATCCAGGGTCTTCCTCTCCTACACTGTCCTTCCACCCTCCCAAACATGATGTCCTTCTCCAAGGAGTAGTCCCTCCTGTCCACGTGCCCAAAATATGTGAGACAGAGCATCAAGGAGAAACTTGGTTTCACTCTTTGTAAGATAGACCTGTTTTCCTGATGGTTCAGTACTCTTCTACAGCATAACTCAAAGGCATCAGTTCTGACATTCGTAGTCATTATTTAGCTCTCTGATGCATAGCAAGTCTCTAGACATCATTGCTCCTCAGCACTTTGGAGAGGTCCCTAACAGCAGACTTCACCAGTGCAATTCATCTTTTGATTTCCTGACTGCTGGTGCCAAGAGTGTTGATTGTGGAGCCAAGGAAGCTGTAATTGTTAAAAACCTTACTCTCTTCTCCATCCATCATGTGCTTCCATTTGGCCCAGGGGTGAGAATCTTTCTATTCTTGATGTTGAGCCTCAAACTATATTTAAGGCTACAGTCCTTGATCTTGTGCAACAAACTCTTCAGGTTCTCCTTATTTTCAGCAAACAAGGTTTTATCATCTGCGTAATGCAGGTTGTTGATGAGTCTTCCTTGAATCCTGGTGCCACACTGCTCCTGAAGCCCAGAATATGTGGGATGAAGCTTCTCCATCCATGCCTGTAAGGAGCACTTGGCTGCACTTGGTACAAGATATATCTGTTTGATCTTTTGATAGCCCGTGTTTTGTTCTAAAGTTGTCTAAAGTAGTTGATTTGTATTGTCAAATCAGGTATTTTCTTTCTGATTTTCTGTTTGTTCATCTCTTATTGAACGTCTCCAGAAATTATTGTCCTTTCATATCTGTTGGTTTTAACTTAATTTGGGGACTCAATTATAATGTTTGTATCTCTTTGATGTCTTTTTATATTTATCAAATTTCTTCTGTCTTTAGTTATACTTGTTTTCAGATTATATTGTCTTAAATTAATATAACCATTTCAGTTCTTTTTTGTTGTTATTAATTTGCATAGTATATATTTTTCTCTTCCTTTCCTGTTAACCTGTTTCATATATCTACTATAGACAGCACATGGTTGGATTATATTTTCTTTTTCAAAATTCATTATTGCCGTCTTTGCCTTTTGATTGAAATGTTGAGTCTGTTTATATTTAATTTCCGAGAAGGTAAGATTTTTATCTGCCAAGTTACTATATGTTATACCTTTTTTTATTTATTACAACTTTTTTGTATTAGATATTTTTTTAGTATGCAATTTTAGATCCTTTGCCATTTGTTTTACTATATTATTTTAAGTTATTTTCATGGCACTTATCCTGTAGACTACAAGTAACATTCTTACTTGAACAATCTAGTAGCTTAGTAGTGTAATTTCAATGTATAAGGGAACTTTATTTCTAAGTCGTAATTTTCTTTTCCTCTTTCATGGTGATGCTACTGTCATTAAAAATTACATCTTTGTCATAAAAATTACATTTTGCTCACCATATATGCCCATGAACACAGTTTTACTAGTTTATATGATTCTGATTTGAATCATGTAGAATCAAAAAGTTCAAAAGACTGGGAGGAGGGTAGAGAGAATAGTGCAACAATGAATGAGTGGAAGCCCAAAATCTCTGTAAATGTTTATGAAAATTAATAAAATATAATTATAGAAAAAAAAAAGAAGAGTACTGAATATCTCACAGATTGTCAAAAGAATAAACAGATATGTCTTGGAAAAAAAAAGTTCAAAAGAAAGAACCTATTAGTTCTTTTATTAGATAGTTATCTTCACCAGTATTGTGTTTCTGCATATAGATTTGCATTTTCGCCTCATGTGCTTTTATTCTCATGTACACAACTTAACATTTCTTACAGTATAAGTTTCCTTGCAACAACTTAGCTATTCTTTTTTTAGTCAAAAAAACTTACTACCATCCCTCCAGCTGCCTCATAGCTGACCCTCCAGCAGGTTTCCAAGTTTAGAAATCACATGAGAGGAAGTTGTCCATCATTCTCCTTTGGAACCATTGGCAGGCTCAAGCCACCAGAGGTGTGTGGTGTTAGGATTAGCAGTTTAACTCTTATAGACTACATCATGAGAGTTCTAAATATTTCTAATATTTAGATAAGTAATATTTTCGTATTTAAGTAATAATTTCATAATAATGTTTAGTTACCAATTATAAATTTATTTGAAAGAAGGAAAAAAGCAACAAAAAATTCCATTTAGTCCCTAACTCTGACTAGTTACAGTCAAATATTGTGTTCTTGTTTCTCCATTTTTATATCCTGTTTTAGCACAAACAAGAAATTACATTTACACCTCAGGTTGTTCTGAATGTTAACTGCACAGCATCTGATGTAAGACAAATGGTGTTAATGGTATTAGCTATGATAGTTGATATTATGATTCTTTCACAAGATCTTCCTTTTTACTTCTTTCACATTGTTGTTATGTGCTGTCGAATTGCTTGCGACCCATAGCAATCCTATGTACAAGAGCCCTAAACCCTGCTCTATCCTGTGCCAGCCTCACTGTTTCTTATATTCCTACTTCGTTACCCCAATCACTGGATTGATCCATCTCACCGAGGGTCTTCCTCTCTTGCACAGTCCCTCCACCCTCCCAAACATCATGTCCCTCTCCAAGGACTGGTCCCTCCTTGTAACATGGCCAAAACATGTTAGACCAAGCTTTAGAAATCCATTTCTCCAAGTAGCAGCCTGGCTTCACCCTCTCCAGGATGAACCTGTCCTCCTAGAAGTCCATGGTATATTCAGCTCTCTTCTCCAGCACCACAGCTCTTTCATTTTACTCTTTTATATTTTTAGTATATGAAGTTCTGTTTGATTTTTTTTTCCTTTATCCACTCCATTAACTTTTACTGAAGATCAGCATTGTGGCACATATGCTGCTGGTGAGGGGTTCATAAGCACCTTCTAGACAGACGGAAAACCAAACCTAGTTGTTAGTATAATAATTATTAATAATAACCCAAACCCTGTCCTATTCCGCCCATGTTCACTTCCTGACATACTAGATCCCAGTCACCATATCAATCCAACATTTCAATCCTCTCCCTCACCAACCCTTCATCCTTCCAAGCATCATGTCCTTCTCCAAGGAATAGCACCTTCTAGCATGATGCCCAAAGTATATGAGGCCTAGCCTCATCATTCTTGTCCCCAAAGAGCACTCCTGCTGCACCCTTTAAAAGACATATTTGTTTGTTCTCTTGGCCATCCATGGGATGTTCATTGTTCTTCTCCATCACCACAGCTCAAAACCATCATTTATTTTTCTGTCATCCTTATTCATTGTCCAGCTTTCAGATGCATAGCAAATGATCAGAAAGTTCATGGTCTGAATCAGATGCACCGTAGACCTCAAACTTCTCATTGGAAAAGCTCAATATCAGCAGTCAAAACTAGGCCAATGCAGACTGTGAGTCAGATCATCAATTAGTCATGTGCACGTTCAAATTGAGGCCGTAGAAAAGTAAAATAAGTTCACAGGATCTTGATTCAATTCCATCTGAATTTAAAAATTATTTTAGGAATAGCTTTGAGACATTAAATACCAATGATCAAAGTCCAGAGGAGTTGTGGGATGATACCAAGGATATCATCTATGAAGAAAGCAAAAGAAATTATTATGAGCATTATTTATATTACAATATTATTAATATTAGTAATTGTTAATAAAATAAAAAATAAAGAGTTGAATATGTCTAAATATTTCCAATCCATGAGGCCAAAGTAAATGCGTGGTGGTATTCTCCTTTTTTGCCTTCACCTTTAGACTCTCCAGCTTAATTGCCCTTTGAACTTGGGGAAGAAGATGACAGGGTGAAAGGAGCTTAGTGTATTTTTAACAGAGACAATACTTTTTATTTTTACTTTGAGACTTTATTCTTAGGGTCCTAGTTCCAACAATCTCCACTTCTTTTTTCCCCCACCTTCTACCATTCTTAATAAAAAGACCTTACAGAATAGAATAATGCTGGCAATTAAAATGCTTAACACATCTTCCACAGAAACTTAATGTTACATGTTATTTTCTTCATTCCTGTGTTTATATTATATTATATTGTATTCTATTATACTGTATTAATTCTATTCTATTCTATTCTATTCTATTCTATTCTATTCTGTTCTATGAAAAGTATCAGTGTTATGGACTTGTGTGGGTACAATTTGGCCACTATATATATCATTACTTTTGTATAAAAATGTCCAATGCTCTCTATATTTAACTGATAGGATAATATAACCAAATTGATTTCTTGGTTTTGTTTGTTTATTGTGTGTATTTATTAAGTCTTACTTTTCAATTAACTTTAAAGTTTATATTTAAGTATAATTAAATTTAAACCTATCTGATGTACCAAAGAATCCCATTTGTTTATTTACTGATTAAGGCTTTTTGCTTTGTATACTATTACTGATACTATGTTGTTCTTTTTTGTATACAATATCTTAACCAAATTGTTTTTAAATGAACATTGAGTTGGAAAATCCTTGGGATTATGTATAAAATGAAAATGTGTATTAGATTACCAGTTAATCATTGTCCTAAGCCAGCACCCTATAGGGAGCATAGTATTTTTGTGCTTTTTAATATCCATTTTTACAGCTGTATTTTAATGACTATACTTTTGCTTTTAGATCATTTGGGGAATATTTTTCATCTTGGTTGCATTGCTGTTTGTAATTTCTCTCTTTCTGTCAAAGTAAGTATAGTAGATACATTTTCTAAAACAATTATAAAAATCCTCAATATAACTTCCCTGTATTAAATTCCATTAGTGTAGCCTATTCATCTTAAGCAGCTATATTTTTTGAAGTGTTATCAACATTAACTTGAAAAATGATGATATAGATTGAATAATAGCACTTCTTTATTCTATGTCCATTTAACAATGTCTGTAAGATACTTAAATGAGATTTAATTTTTATTATCTGTGGTTTTAGTTTATTTGCATCCTTAAGTTATAAAAGTATTCTTTCTAATTTATTTGGAAATATGCTAGTGGTTTTTATATATGTATGCTTTTAAACTTTATGTAATATATATGTAATTTCTTCTAATTTTAGTTTGGATAAAGCTCTTCATTCAGCTGGAATAGATTCTGGTTTTATAATTTTTGGAACTAATCTGAGTAATCCACTAAATATGCTTTTACCTGTACTGCAAACAGTAAGTAAAAAGTCAGTTATTTGCAGAATATGCTTTGGAACCTTGGCTAGTTTTTATTTTTGTATGGTTTTTGCAGTGATAGGCTATTTTAAAACTGAGTATTCCCTTAGTATGAGGGGATGGGACTGTAGACCAGGGCCTGGAGCCTCCACTCTGGGAGTTTGGCTTCTAGCTTGCAACTCAATGACAGTCTTGCCTGGTCATGTAAGGGGAGGTTTTGGGGTTGTGTTTGATGTGTATTACTGCTCTTCTCTCCCCACCCCCAAGAGCAGGTGTCCTTGAGCCTGTGGCCAAGGGTGGAGGTCTGGTAGAAGGTGTGGCTTTAAAATCCCACAGCACCCAAGGGCCATGGGCAATATTTATTAAATTTCAAATGAATATTCCTTAAATGACACAGCAATCTTTTGTCTGTTTGCTGAACTGAACAACTTGGTGTTGCACACTGCTTCATAGTCTTGTCAAATACCATAATGGTTACCCATCATGTATAATGTTTAGATGATCTTCCAGATTGATTTATGCTGGGAAACAGGAGTGGCATCCACTTTGTAAACTAGATGCCTCTGGAAACTCTACAAACTCACTAAACTCTATAAATGTACAGAAATGATGTTAGTTCTAGAACAGAGTTCAGGTCTTTTGTGCAAAGCCTACTTTAAGTTGTACTCAACTTGACAACACTTAACCACTACTAAATGAGACTAGTGCTGTTATATCTGGAGGAACACTTCCACTTCGCATATCACTCTTTGTCAATATGCTGTATGAAGTAACCTGGGTTTACTGTGATGCTGAACCTTGCGCCATTGAGGTATCAAATGCCAGAATGGTTTCCCAATGTGGACAGTGTTTGGTAGAGCTCCCAGTTGTAAAACAAGTTTAGAAGCAGGAGTGGCATCCACTTCGTAAGCCACATGCCTCTGGAAATTCTTGGTTGCATTGCTGTTTGTAATTTCTTTCTTCCTGTTAAAGTAATTATAGTAGATCTATTTTTCTAAAACAATTTTAAAACTCCTCTAATATAAATTCCCAGAACTTGGAGAAACCATAGTTATGGAAAGGCATTGGGTTTTTTGTTCATAGAGTTTCTATGAGTTGTGCTCGACTTGACGGCAAACAACAACTACATATATATATATATATATACACACATGCGCACACACACGTATATATACACACCAACATATTGTTCTGAACTTTCATATCTTACATTGTTAAGTTTAGGAATCATTATAAAGTTTTAGGTAGACTTTTTGAAACTCTTTAGTCTTCTGTTTTTTTCCTGTTTTTAGAATAATTTCAATTTTACAGACTAAATGAACAGAAACACATGTATACTTCCAACCCCCACCTCAATCCAGTTTCTCTTGATATTAACATTTTTGTTTTAAAAATTAACTTTTCTATTAGTTTGCATTCAGTCATGTTGTGCTTCATACAGTTGTTCCCATATAATGTGTTTTATAAAATTAATCACCATTAATCTGTGCCCACTGTTACCCTCCCCTTTTCAGTCCCCACTTGATCTTTCCTAATTCCTTTACCTACTGCCTCTGTGCACCAAAATCAGCAACCTCATGATTTTCCTTCCTCCCTACCCTCTCTTCCCTTTCCCCTTTGGACATTTGTACACATATTACTTACTAGTTATCCTTATTTTTAACAATAGTGGTCTTATGCAGTGTTTGTTCTTCTAAGACTGAGTTAATTCACTCAGAGCAGTACTCTTTAGCCTCTCCCATGTCATATAGTATTTTTCAGAATCATTGCTCCTGGGTGCTGCACAGTTATTCATTCCATCATGTAAATGTACCACAATATTTCAATCCATTTGTTTGTTGGTGGACATTTGAGCTCTTACTATGTTTTGCCAGTGTGAATAATGTTGTTATATAGATCTTCATTTATATCTCAGTTCTAATTTTCTAGGAGTATATTCCTAGCATTGGGATAGCTGGTTTATATGGAATATCTATATTCACCTTTTAAGGAAATGCCAAACTGCCTTCCAGAGTAGTTATACCATTTTACAATTGTATGAGAGATTTCTCCACATCCTCTCAAGCGTTTATTGCTTATTGTCCTGTTAAACTTTGCCACTGCTAAATAGAGTAACATGTTACCTCATTGTAGTTTTGATTTGCATCTCTCTCATTGCCAGTGATTTTGAGCATTTCTTCATGTGTCTTCCTCCCATTCAATGTGATCCTCTCTTGGTTATGCATTTCTGGCTGTATTATCCAACATATTTATTATACCCTGGGCTTTCTAAGTTTTGTTCCATTCTGTCTCTTATGATCTTTATAGTTTTGACCTCTGCTCCAAGGTCTCTGATCCATCCTGAATTGATTTTTGTGTATGGTTGTGAGATGTGGGTCCTGTCCAGTCTTGCCACTACCATTTGTTGAAGAGGTTGTTATTTCCCAATCTGATAGGCTTGACTTCCTTGTTGAACACTAGGTGACTGTGGGCAGGTGGTTTAATTTCTGGGTTCTCAGTTCTGTTCTATGGCTGTGTAGTTGACTTCAGATCAGAGCTTGCTACTCCTCCCACTTCATTCTTGTTTTTCAGAAGTGATTTTCTTATTCGGAGTCCATTTCCTTCCCAAATATACTTGCTGGTTGCCTTTTGCATCTCTTTGAAAAATGAATTTGGTATCTGTATGAGGATTCTGTTAAATATGTAGATTGCTTTTGTAGGCTTGTCATTTCTACTATATTGAGTCTTCTTATCCATGGACAAAAATATTTTCCTGTTTATTTTGGTCGCTTACTGTTTCTTTCAGTAATGTTCTGTATTTTTCCTTATAAAGGTCTTTTGTGTCTCTAGTTAGGATTACTCCCAAGTATTTCAGTTTGTGGTAGGCTGTTGTAAATGGTATTGCTTTCTTAGTTTCTTTTTCTGTGTCTCCTCTGTTACTGTAGAGGAATCACATTGAATTTTTTTTTTTTTTGGTCTATTGATCTTGTATCCTGCCACTCTACAAAATTGGTCTACTAGGTCTGTTTTTTCTTTAGTTTTGGGGGGCTTTTGTGTACACTATTATATCATCTGCATATTGCAACAGTTTTACCCCTTCTTTGTCAATTTGGATGCCTTTTATTTTATTCTCTTGCTTTAACTGCCCTAGCAAGTATTTCCAATAAACTATTCAACAGGAGTGGTGAAAGTGAGAAACCTTAGCTGGTTTCTGTTTGCCAGTGGAGTATCTTTAGTCTTTCTACATTGGCAGTAATATTAGCTCTTGGTTTTGAATATATCCTTTTTACTGTGTTGAAGAAATTCCCCTTCTATTCCTATTTTGTAGAATGTTTTAATTAGAAACAGGTTTGGATTTTGTCAGTGATCTTCTCTGTATCAATTGACAGGATCGTATGGTTCTTTGCTTTGCTTTGTTGATGTGTTGAATTACATTGTTTTTCTTATGTTGAAACATCCAAACCATCTCTGCATATCTATTATGAATCCTACTTGGTCGTGATAGATTATTTTTTTTAAGTGCTGTTGGATTCTCTTAGCAAGAATTTTGTTAATGATTTTTGCATCTATATTCATGAGAAATAATGGTTTGTAATTTTGTTTTTGGGTTTTTCTTTTAATGTTTTGCCTGATTTTAGTATTTAGGTTATGCTTGCTTCTTAGAATGACACTGGGAGTGTTCTTTCTTTTCTATTTTTCTAAGTAGAATTGGTGATAGATCTTCTCTGAAAGGTTGATAGAATTCATCTGTGAAGCCATTGAAGCCAAGACACTTTTTTTTGAGAAGTCATTTTATGACATAGTTTCTAATTTTTGTGCTAAGTCTTTTCAAGTGTTCTACATCAATCCTTGTCAATATAGGTGAGGTGTGAGTTTCAAGGAATTTACAGTTTCCTGTAGGTTTCCAAATTTATCAGACTATAGCTTTTCATAATATTCCAGTATTATTGATGTAGTATCATTTGGTTCTATTATGATGACACCGCTATCATTTCTTATTCAAGTTAACTGTGTCTTTGGCAAACCTTACAGAAGAAACAAAACAGAAGACACAGATATCTTGAATAAGAAATGATAGCGCTGTCATCACAACAGATGAAACAGAAAACAAAAAATAATTGAAACCATTAACAAAACTAGCAGCTGGTTTTTCAAAGGGTTATGAGTATGGGTTTGAGAGGGGCAAGGCCCTCCTCTATCAAACCATTCTTTCCGGTGTCTGGCTTAGTCTGGTGGGGCTCCCTCCCCACTGTTCCTGTAATTATCCTTGGTGGTCCTGGTACACAAAGCAGCCAGAGATCAATTTCCCTGTCAGGCATAACTGTACTCTCTATGTGGTATTTTGTTTTCCATTTATAAAGACTTCATTTCTTCTATATGTAAATGAATCTGAAATTTGTTATAAAAATCTTCTGAAGGCAAGTGATGCCAAATAATTTGGTAAATTAATAGGTGTGATGTTTTATTTGACTTTTTTTTAATTATGGGAAGTAGTATATTACCACACTAGCCTAGTGATATATTAGACTCAATATTTTAGCATTTACCAAAAATCAGAAATGGATTATTTGGTTAATTTTGCATGATTCTTTGAGCCTTTAATGTTTGTATATTATGTTTAATTATGTTGCTTTTTTTTCAGGTTTTCCCTCTTGATTATATTCTTATAACAATTATTATTATGTACTTTATTTTCACTTCAATGGCGGGAATTCGGAATATTGGTATATGGTTCTTTTGGATTAGAGTGAGTACAATATTCATCTTTTCAAATTGTTGGCTTTATAGTATAAATGATAGCTAGGTACAGAAAGTGATGAATTATTAAATTTTTCATTTCATATTAACAAAAAAGAGAGAGTGTATGTGTGTGTTTGTGTATGTTTAGGGCAGCAGTAGCTCTTTGCTGAGGGAGACCTGGTAAGATATCTACAGATATAAAACAAGCCAACTAACTAGCCAATCCAAGAGAAAGATATGGGCAGTCTTCTACCATAAAGATTTTCAGCTTTGGAGACTTGATGGAGGATAGCTATGAGTCACACAAGACACAGCAGTGGGTTAGTTAATGTGAAATTAGAAATTTTACTTCTAATTAAAAATTAGAAGAAAAAAATTGATTCAGCTAAGAGGGACTGACTCCAGTGGGTAGAAGTCAAGGATTGTTTTAAAAATCTTAAAGTACACAGAGCAGCCACAAAGATTTATCTTACCTGAAATACTGGTAGTAGAAAGCAAGACCCTCTGGTATAAAAGTCATAGTGGTAATTATCTTTAGTGTGGCTATGTAGAAACCCATTGAAGCACAAATGGATATACTGGCTCTCTAAAATGTCCTTCCCTGTTCAGAATTAAGAATGTGCTATGGATTGAATTATATACACACAAAATATGTCTTATAAATCTTACAGATCCTAACCTCTGTGTATAATTTTAATCCTATTTGTGAAAGAGTTGCGTTTTTTTAGGTTGATTAGTTAGGATTAATGTAGGCTGTTATTTAAGTGCATCTCTCTTGAGAAGTAAAAGAGATTAAACAAACCAGTAGAGGAGAGATGAAGTCAAATAGTTGCAGAACACATGGAGCCAAGAAGCAGAAACTGAACAAAGATCTTTCTCTACAGTCATTAGAGAAAGAAAGCCTTCCTCCAAATCTGAAACTTTGAATTCAGACTGAACCAAGAGAAGATGTCTATTTTTTAAAGCCATTCACTTGTGATAGATAAGAGTACTGCATGATTTGAACAAGAAATAGTTTCTTCATAACCAGATTGAAATAAATTTAAAAAGTTTAAAGGAAGTTTACAAAGTCTAGACTAGTTTTCAGCTGGGGAAAAAAAAAACAAAACCAAAATATCAGACAACTAATTTCTCCCAACAAACTCAGTTAAATAACGACTTAAAGTATTATTCTCTAGCTCAAAAATACAAAGTTTATTGTATCTGTAATTCTCTTAGCTTCTCCCTCGTGATTGCAAAATGGCTGATACAGATCCATTTATTCTACTTATATTTCTCAATACTGTAGCTAAGGATAAAAATTAATAGGAGAAGATTTAACCTTTATATTTTTAAAACAAGACTTTCCCAGAAATCTCCAGGAGATTTCTTCTGTAAGGAGTTCAGTGTTAAATAATAATAAATATCTAGCATCCAGGAAAACCTACAACCAGGAGAGGATAAAATAGATGAATGGGACTTTATACGCATCAAATCCCTATGTTGTTGTTGTTGTTGTTGTTGTTAAGTGCCGTCGAGTCACAGGCGACTCATAGCGACCCTATGAAGGAGAGTCCTTGACGCTTGGGTGCCTTTCATCCTCTCTCCAAGTTCATAGGGTTTTCGGAGGCAAGCTATTATGGAAGTGGACGCCACTCCTCCTTCCACGCTTGTTCAATCGGGGAGCTCCACCCCACTCTCAGTCCGCATTGGGGAGCCAACCATTAACGCATTTGACACATCCGTGTCACAGTGTTCAGCCTCACAGCAACCACAAGTGACCGCAGGATGGCAACTTATCCCTATACACATCCAAAAACTTTTCCAACAGGGTAAAAAAAGAAGCTACAGATGGGGGAAAAAAATATTTGGTAATAATGACATGTCAGACAAGGGACTTACATCTAGAATTTATAAAATACTCGAGCACCACAACAAGATAGAGGTAAATAACCCAGTTAAAAAATGGACACAGGATATGAACAGACACTTCACCACAGATGACATTCAGATGGCAAACAAACACATGAGAAATGTTCAAAATCCCTAGCTCTAATAAGAGAGTTGCAAATCAAAACAACGATGAGATATCATCTCACCTCAGTAAGAATAGCAAAGTTTAACAGAACAGCAGACATCAAATGTTGGTGAAGTTTTGGAGAAACTGGAACCCCTTTTCACTGTTGGTGGGAGTAGAAAATGGTGTAACCATTATAGAAGGCTGTATGGCGCTTTCTCAAAAAGTTGCAAATAGAAATACCATTTGACCAGATTTACCCTAAAGAAACCATAACTGCTACCCAAACGGATATATGCACACCCATGTTTATTGCGGCTTTGTTTGTAATAACGAAGAGCTGGAAACAACCCAAGGAACAACAAACAAATGGATAGAGAATCTCTGGTATAAGGCACACAGTGGAATACTATGCAGCACTGAAAAACAAGGAACTCATGAAATATGCAAAATGGATGACCCTGGAGGACATTATGCTGAGTGAAATATCTCAGTCACAAAAGGACAAATATTGCATAGGGCAACTGTTGTAAATGAGACTGATATTAGGGTTGAGGGAGGACAAAAAAGGGGGGAAGGAGTGATTTATACTGCATTGAAACAGATGAGGGAGAGATCTGTTTAAAAGGGATATGTGATTGGGTATTATTGTCATTACAGAAGTCCAGCGTGAAGGCTGCATAGTAGAGTGGACTTGGGGGGAGGGATTGCATAACAATGAAAGAGTTTTTCTTTTCAAGGAGAAAAGTAACTTGGGGGGAAGGGGTGGGCAGGGAGAAAAAATGCAACAGACAATGACTGGAAACCCTAAGTCTCTGTAAACTTTCATTAAAATTAATAAAAAATATGTTAATAAGAAATATAAAATAAATATCATTCTCTTTAGTAGCTGTAATGAAAGCTGTGAAATGTCGATTTTAATTGAGTGTATTATCATCCTATACGTAATTGAAATTCTCTTACAACATGTCATAATACAATCTGGTAGTCAAATAAAGAAGAAATATTATAGTAGCTAAAATATGTGTCTTGTCACTGAAATGAAAGTCATTCAGATTTCTTATTTTTTGTGAAAATGTCTACCATCATGGTGATAATAAGTTTTGTTTGAGGTTATGAGGACATACAAGTAATACATAGAAAATAATGTAAATATGTAACATACCTGTTATTGTCCAGCAATACTAAAGATAGCTATAAATGTTAATATTTGTAGTTTAAACTCATGCTAATCTTTAAATGAAATCACTGGTATTTCAAAATTCATTTTAGCTTATTAAACTACTCAAACATGCTATTCTTGTACTAAGTGTAGAAGATTTATCAGAAAAAAGACCATAGGAATAAAAGGAGTAGCTCTAGTATTTTTGTTTTTAATGAATTACGTATTAGGGTCTTTTGATTAAGATCCTTTACCAAGACTTCGAGAGAAATAAAAAGTAAAACTTTATAGCTTTATAGGGAAAAATTTATGTTGTTATTTAAGTGTTATGTAATTGTTTGGAGTTATTAGTATTTTGGGAGGGAAAGGAAATGATTGAGCTTTGTCAGTCTTTTCTCCTAACATAAAGAAAGGTGTGACTTCATGCCTGATTCAGAAAGCATATTGCTGATAGGTTGCCATACCACTGTCCTTTTCCCTTTCAGTTATATAAAATCAGAAGAGGTAGAACGAGACCCCAAGCACTCTTGTTTCTCTGCATGATACTTCTGCTCATTGTCCTTCATACAAGCTACATGATATATAGTCTTGCTCCCCAGTATGTTATGTATGGAAGCCAAAATTATTTAATAGAGGTAAGTACAAAATTTAAATCTTAATTATCTTGATATTTTTAAGTTGGTAATATTTATAGTTATATTGTGATCTAAGAAGGATGGAATAAGATAATTAGCTCATATTAAATCTAATATTGCTTACACAAGTTTTTTGTTCCAATTTTTGAACTATATTTATTTCATATTCTTTCTGGAGTCCCTATGTAGTGCAGATGGTTAATGTACTGGGGTTAGAGATTTGAATTTTTCAAAAAGCCCCTTTAAAGAAAGACTTGAAAATTTATTTTCAAAGAAAGTAACCTTTGGTAAAACTATGGCACTAATTTGATCTGTAAGCTTCCACCTAATCTCAATTAAGTATAATTAAGAAAACAAACCAAAAAACCGTATGGAACACAGTTCTACTTGAACACATACAGGATTGGTTTGAATTGGAGACTCTGAAAACTTGCTGGAGGGTTAGCTGTGTGTTGGTTTTGACTTAGCAACATATACAACATATACCTACTCAGTAACAGTATATTTTGAATGTAATGCTTGATCTAGAAATATGATTTGTTATCTTCAGAATAATCTTTATTGCTTGTCAAAACACCTAAAGAATTGTTGTAAATACCCATAATTTTCAGATTTATTTTAATTCTTTTTCTAATTCAAATTTTACGATAGAGATCGTTTTTAGAATATTTGATAAAAGAGTACTCCTATTTTTGCTGAATTAATTCTGACTCATGGTAATTCCATCTGTGTCAGAATTTTTATTAGCTGATTTTCAATTTTGACTTGATGGCACACATCTCCACTACGATGCTTAATAAAAATTATTACAACTCATTCACTACCCTTATTTCTGAATTAGCTAGGTTTGAGTGGGTGTTTTTGTTATATTTCAAAAGCTTGATAACTTTTTAGAACAAAACAATACCACCTCAGCAATTTTTTTTAATAAAAAAGTTTATTGCCAAGCGTTTCTTCTGAGGTACCTGTGAGTGGACTTAAATCTCTAACATTCCCACATGTGTTAACACATTAACCATATACGCCATCTAGGGACTTTATTTAAGATCCTTGTAGGTGTGTAAAGTTCAAGATTATTGTTGTTGTTGTTGTTGATTGCCGTAGAGTCAAGCACAACTTATAGTGACCCTATGAACAAAAGGCCTGTAGCCTTTCTATAGTTATTGACATTCATCAAAGTTCATAGAGTTTCCAGAGGCAACATTTGTTTAAGAAGTGGATGAGTGTAATATTTACATTTTTTTTACTTTCCAGAACAATACCAGTTATGACGACCATAAAGGCAATTCCACCATTTCCGTGCCAAAGAGATGTGATGCTGATGCTCCTGAAGGTAAAGCAGGTTTTGTCCACTAACTTCAAGTGTGTAGCTCTTTAAATGTATGCTCTGGTGGTGTAGTTCCTGGGAAATTACACAGCTAACCCAGTGGTGGTCCATGTTCAAATAAAAGATGGACAGTCTCCTGCCATGTGATTTACAACTTAGGAAGCCCATTTCTCAGGTCATCTATGAGTCATTTCCAACTCAGCAGCAATGAGTGAGTTGATGAGAGCTCCCTTTAAAATAAAATCATTGTTGTAGAACAAAGTATTTGTGAATGTTTGAATGAAAAATTAAATTTGTTTGTAAACTGTCAAAGGACTATTTTTAAAAAGAAAAAAAATTTAAATTATCTGGCTTTTATTAACCATTTGGTAACTTTGCTTTACTCTATGGTGAGAAAGGAACTGTTATTTAGTAAATAGGAATTGCTAAGGCTCTTCAACAGAATGTCTTTGTGTTGACATAATCTCCCCTCGGGAAAAGTTCTTACAAATTTACTATGTAAAAAGTACCTAGAGGCAGTCATTACTTTTTCTTAATTAGTATAAACTATAATAAGAAATCTCAAAGCTCTCTCCCAGCAGGTACTGGTATGATTATTCTCCATCAGTGATTAGAGACTGGTTGCCTGGGAAAGACAGATTGAAGGATTGGCTTAGAATTGGGAGTATGAGGGGAGAGGACCAAGGATAAATGGAAATTGAGATTCAGTCACATATTCAAGGATGCTTTGTAAAAACATGGAGGGAGAAATACAACTGTGTGAAAGAAGTGGAATCAGAAGAGGAGAAACAAATATGGTGGGGATAACTTTATTATACCTGAATAAAATAATTGTAAAAGTTTTAGTTAAAAACTTGCATGTAACAATTCTACTTTGATACTGTAGTCTCTGATTTTTCACATTGAAATGCACACGTGAATCACAAGTAGGGTAGATAGTTGATTTGCTTTGAGTTTTCATTTTTATGAAAGTGAAAGTGGAATAAAGAAATTACTTTTTAATTGGTTTTCTTTTTACACTAAGGCAGGGGATGATTTTTAATATTCTGATCTTCAAATTACTTAAATTTAAGAAATTGAAGCTTTAGCAGAGAAACAAATCAGAGTTTTAAATATGCCATTGAGTCACTTGCAACTCATAGAAACCCTGTGCACAACAGCTCTGACCCCTGCTTTATCCTGTGCCGGCCTTATTGTCGCTGACACACCTACCCCATTATCACAGTGACTGAGTCAGTCCATCTCTTCGAGGGTCTTCCTCTCTTGAGCTGTCCCTCCATCCTCCCAAGTATGATGTCCTTCCCCAAGGACTGGTTCCTCCTTGCTACATGTCCAAAGTATGTCAAATGAAGCTTCAGCATCCTTTCCTCTAAGCACCAGCCTGGTTTCAGCCTCTCCAGGACAAACTTGTTTGTTCTTCTAGCAGTCCATGGTATATTCAGTACTCTACTCCAGCACCACAACTCAAAGGCATCAATTCTTTCTCTATCATCCCTAGTATTGTCCAGCTTTCACATAACAAGTAATTGTGAAGACTATGGGCTGGATTAGGCACACCTTAGTCTCGAGACTGATGTCACTGCTCTTCAATACTCTGGAGAGGTCCCTAACAGCCAACGTTCCCAATGAAATTCATCTTTGATTTCCTGACTGCTGGTACCAAGAGTGTTGATTGTGGAGGAACAAAGCAAACTGAAGCTGTTAACAATCTCAGTCTGTTCTCCATATAACATGATACTGCCAGTAGGCCCAGTGGTGAGAATCTTTATTTTCTTGATGTTGAACTTCAGTCCGTATTAAAGGATACAGTCTTCTGCAGCAAGCACTGCAGTTCCTCGGTTTAAGCAAACAGGATTGTGTCATTTACATAACACTGGTTGTTGATGAGTGCCACATTCCTTCTCATAGAGCCCAGCCTCCCCAGTCATCTGTTCTACATATAGATTGAAAAGTTATGCAGATACATCCCTGATGTACACCCTTCTTAATTTTAAGCCATGTAGTGTCTCCTTGCTCTGTTCTGATGATTATCTCCTGGTCCAAGTATATGTTTCACATAAGCACAATTAAGGGTTCTGGGATTCCCATTCTTCTCAGAGTCAGCCACAGTTTGTTGTGATCCACACAGTCAAATGCCTTTGCATAGTCAGTGAAACACAAATAGTTGTTTTCTGCCAAGAAAACAAATATGTCTGTCTTACAGAGGATGAAACCAAGTCTCCCTTTGAACGCTAGGATTTTGAACCTCAGCCTCACTTACTGTGGGCAGGTGGTCAGGAGAGATTGGTCCTTGGAGAAGAACATCATGCTTGGAAAGGTGAATGGACAGCACAGGAGAGGGAGACCCCAGATGAGATGTATTAATACAGTAACTGGGGCAATGGGGGTGGGTGTTCCAGAATTCGTAAGACTGGCTCAGGATAGGGAAGTGTTCAGAACTGCTGTATATAGGGTCGCTATACATTGCAGGTAACCCAATGGCATATAACGACAATAACAGACTATGACAAGTTTGGAAGCAGGAGTGGCATCCACTTCCTAAACAACATTCCTACAGAGACCCTGTGAACTTTGATAAATGTCAATAGCTGTAGAGGGGCTTCAGGCTTTTTGTCACTGAGTCGTGCTTGACTCGAAGGCAGTCAACAACAGCAGCAACAACAATTCTAGATGGGTCTTGGCTAAAAGCAGAGAGTACAACAACTTCAGTCTCTTCTCCATATATTATGGTGCTGCCAGTTGGCCCAGTTTTATTGGCCTACAATAAGCAGAAGATACAACTTTACTTTCTGAAACTGAGGAAGACCTGAAGCACTTGCTGCAAAAAGTCAAGCACTGTAGTCTTAAATATGGATTGAAGCTCAACATCAAGAAGTCAAAGATTCTCACCACTGGGCCAGTTGGCAGCACCATAAGAGATGGAATCCAGCATTAGCTATATCTATAAAAACATTTCTGTTGACTGGCCCTTTGAACTGTTGCCTTGCAATATAAAAACATACTTCATAAAATTATGATTTTTACTTAATCATCAAAACTGGGTTTTTTTCATTCTTTAGTACATTTATAGACTTAATTTGACTGTGGCTAACGGGGACATAGTGATAGAACTAAAAAAAAATGAATTTGGAGTGTCAGTAGATTTTTTTTTAAATTATTATTAGTGAAAATTTACAGAGACTTTGGATTTCCATTCATTCATTGTTGCACTTTTCTCCCCTCCCAACTGTCTGCCCCCTAGTATACTACCCTCTTGGAAAAGTAAAAGAAAACGTCTTTCATTGTTTTACAAACCGTCCCCCAGGTCCACCCCACTTTGCAGCCTTCGCTCTGGACTCCTGTCATGACAAAAAT